TAACGTAATAAGAGAGAGACTCCAGGGAGTATGTGTGTATCTGTGTGTATGTGTGTGTGTGTTGATCAGCAGAGCTTTGTAATCTGAGCCCAACATAATTGCTTCCCATAGTGCCCTGGGTGTGGTCCAGGGTGACATCATCCATAGTGCCCGAAACACAAACACACACACACACACACACATCTTTTGAATTACTTGATTATGGAGATTATATCTTCCAAAATCACGATGACTGCCTTAATAAAAAAAAGAAGTTTTTAGAATTCAAACTGATGGAAACAAACATGTTTTTAGTTTGTGTGGATATAATCAGGATATAATCAATGGCCCAATGTGTCAGTGCAGCATATAATCAATGGCCCAATGTGTCTATTTTTAAATACGTGACAAAGAATATTTTGTATGGTCAAACACGTTTTTGCCTGTAAATCCCAATTTATGACAGAAATATGAGAAAAACAGGGAAAATATGGGATAAAGAACAGTTGGTAAGGATTGATTTATCTGAGGAGAAGAATGAGGTGAGAAATTAAGAAAAGAAGGGAAAGAAAAAACCCTGAAAAACAAAAACAGGTAGTAAAAGATGTAAAAAGAAGCTGACGCAAAAGATGACAACAAAAAGAGGAGATGGAGAAGGTTGAAGGTGATGGTGGAGCAGTATAGATGGAACTAAAATAAGTGCAAGAGAAAGAAAAGGGAAAAGTGAAGAACAAGTGAAAAGACAAAAAAGGAAGAGAAAAAGTCAATAAGGTAAAAGCGTAAAGGTGACAAAAAAGGAGATGAGAAGGAAAAAGATGAGGACAGATGAGGAGGTGGAGGAAGAAGAAGGCAGAGTCAATGACTTCTGCCCTCCTACTGTGTGTTTTTTAAAGACAATGTTCGAGTCTTGTTCAGGTGAAAATCGATGTCACAGAGCCTGGATTTATACACCTACTGGCCCCCAACCACACTCACACACACACCGTCCTCCTCTGTGAGTGTGTGTGTGTATATGTAGGGGGGTTAGTGCGAGGTTATCCCCTGGTTAATGTGACATGTCTGTCTGCGACCTTGCTGCTTGTTAACTGCCGGGATTATTGTTGCCATAATGTGGCAATTAAACAGGAAGAGAGGGAGAAGGGGGAGGGGCTTATGGAGCTGGAGATGGATGTGCGCAGATTACACGGCAGTGGGAAATGCATTAAGGTGGTCATCCATTCTGACCCCTCTTCCACGCTGTGCGTTATTACCGCCCGTCCTCACTGATATCTGCTCCCGATCGATACTCTTGCGCCTGCCGTAAAAACCGCCGTAAATCACTTCACAACGGCGAGTGAGAAAGCAAGCAAAAGCAAACGTTAACGTTTTTTTTTTTAAAACATTTTGCTCTTAATGGGCCGCCATAAGTCTGCCGGAAGTGTCGAGTGGCTTCACCAGGACGCAGGCACAGAATGATAATTTTATTGACTAAACTTAACTTTGAAAGCTAAGTTTTCTTATCAATGGTGTTTTTTTCCTCCATTTAACATGTTCAGTAGATTCAGTAGGATGGTCGTTGACAGCCTGCTGTGTTGGTAGAGTGGCTAAATATAGCACAAAGCTACTCATTTTTGGGGGGGACTGTACTGTACATCTTAATAAATAGCCAAGAATTTTATGAACCTAAATACATTTCGAGCAATTAAAATGAAAGACGTTCTGTGTATAATCTTCAATTGATTCGGTTTACATTTCGTTATTACTTTAGTATTTAAATAAAAAAAAATACAGTTGAAATACCAGCATCATTGAACGAGAATATGCTAAATATTCCTTTTACATTTAATGATTAGATTAAAATCATTTCTCTGGAGTATCAGGAAGTTTTATTTTTTTAAAATTTAGTTAAAATACAGACATTCACAAACTTTTATTGCGGTATATTCATGACTAATGCTTTTGCATTTTGTTTTCCAGATTTTTCCTGAAGTTTTTCCTCAAATGTAACCAGAACTGTTTGAAGAATGCAGGAAATCCGAGGGACATGAGACGGTTTCAGGTGAGACAGAGACTCACTCATTTTTCACATGAAAATTCTTACACATTCCCTGTCTAAAGACACATTTGTGTGCGTGTGTGTGTGTGCGGTTGAAGGTTGTTGTTTCCACCACGGTGAACGTCGATGGTCACGTTCTTGCTGTGTCTGACAACATGTTTGTCCACAACAACTCCAAACATGGTCGCCGCGCACGACGTCTTGATCCGTCTGAAGGTAAGATGCCGCCGCATCTTTTCTATGATGTTTTTTTTTTAAAAAAAACAACTGTTATAACATGTATTTATTTAACAACAAATATTCAAAATGTTAGGTTTGAAAATGCAGTAATTCAGTCAGTCCATTTTTATGAGGATAGACTGCTTAGTCTAGAACATGTTAAAAGTCAGAAGAAAAAATAATCAGTAGCAGAAAACTAGATCAACTTTTGCTTCCAGATACTTTTTATTAATACCTCCTACCATTTTTGGCCTGTGAGGTAAACTCCACCCGTCTGGGGATGTTCACTTGAGTTAAAAAACAAACCCTGAAACACTTTGGTGCCTGTCAGGCATCCAAGTGTCCTCCTCTCTCTTTACATTTTATTTTTAAAGTTTTTTTTTACCCACCAGGAGCAGTGGTGTCGTGTTCCCTTGTTTTAACCTACTTACACTTCTGTACGCGTGGGGCTTAAATTTTCAGGTCATCCAGTAATATCTTAAGAGATGAAAACTTGAAGAAATTGACCTTTGTGTTAATGGATGTTTAAGTGAACATCTATAGAACACCTCCCTTCTGGGTTGGACTAAAGACAGAAGAAAAACCCTAAATCCCTTCTCCACCTCAGGGACTTCAGACTTTTGTGGTGTTATCCATGTGTCATCGCACAGACAGCTCCCCCTATTGGCTTCACTGATATTTAATGCCACCATCTCCTTTGGCTTAACCTACTTGTTAGAGCAGGCGGTGAGCCCTAACTGACACACAATGGAGTTGACGATGACAGAAAAAGCAGAGTCAGCTGACCTTCTGCTTTTCCTAACCACACCCGTCTCGTTGTGTCCGGGGGGATGAAACAAATGCAGCCTGACACAGATCTGTCGTTTAGGAAGCGGAAGCGTTGTTGCTTGTGACAAAATACTTCAACACTCAGCATTAAACTTTCTCTACGGTGTCCTGTGGGGGCCAAATAAACACTGCATGTTATTTATGGGAAGGAGCAGTAACATTTTTTTCACCTTCTCCAAATGCTTGTGCGTTTCAAACAAAGCAACAAAAATGAATAAATAGATATCCTTACACATCTGCCCCTGCCATTGTCACCAGCCCTGGGTGACCCTCCACCCCCACTAGCACCTCCGCCAGTGTATTTTGGATCAAACTGTCCACCTCCTGCTCCCCCTATTGTTCTTTATTCATGTGAGTAGATGAAGTCACATCGAACCGGGGCTCCATCCCAAAGGTGTGTTTGTTTACAGCTGCCACAAAAGAAGAAAATTAATAAGATCATGACAATCGACTCCTCAGAGCGGGAAAACCCTCAGCCCTCGAGTTTTCTCTTTCTTCTGTGTGTTTGTGTGCCCACTGGAGGCATGGGTTTGTCTCAGCGCCACTGAACAACAACAAGCATTCAGCACCACAGAAATTACATTCAGTAGAAGATATATGTATAAGTATATCATATGACCACCTGTATCTTGTGCTATACATGCAGTATATATGCAGTATATCCGTTGTATTGCAATACAATGTCAGATATTTCTATTTCTATTAAATAGTAAAATTCTAAACCTGAGGATACTCCTGGAGCCAAACAAATGAACAGAAAAAAAAACATGTTTACACGTGTATTTATTTGTTTTCCTGTTGTCCGTCAGCAGAGGCTCCTGTCTGGTGTAATAATGTTGGTAAAAGTGTGTTGTTGTTAAAGTCGGGATGTTATAGATCAGCTCTCACAGTAAACGCAGCAAAATTCAGAGCCCTGACTGGAATTTCAAATCCTCCAGTAAAACAGATCCCACTCCGGGAAAGGGCTGTAAATGTGCGGAGCCTCGTCTTGTTTCCATCGTCGCTCTGACTCGACCCGTCTGTCGGACAACAGTCTAGTCATGTCGGAGACGCTGTTTATGTGGAGCCCCTTATTGATCCATGTGACGCTGGAAAAACCAATCAGTTTGCATGTGTTAGTACACGGCAACCAGGCTGCTGCTACGTCCCTCTCTCTGTGTGTGTGTGTGGAGAGTTACGTGATTGTAAAATAAGCTTTTATTACATATTGTGTTTTGGTTGATTAGAGAACACAGTGATGATTAATAAACTGGAATCAGAAAATTAAATATATAATTATCAGTTCAGACACTAAGGTTTAATAAAGTCCTCTTCTCCTCCGCCCTTTAACAACACACCCATTATGGCCATTTACTGCCTCTACTGTGTTTTCACTGGGAAACACACTCCATCCCACTGTGACCTGTAACAAAAAACCCCATAAACCATTATTAAAATATTTTGTGTTAGCTGTTTGGTAATCTAGTACAAACCAGTTTATGTTAGCAAAATCTAACATCAAAACTGCATCACAGGTTTATTTGTAAGCCTTTACTGCTAGCTAATTTTAATAAGGTTTTAATGATCAGCCTTTTCTTTAGCTTGCTGAAAGTAAACCACAGTTATGGAAGCAAAAGCTAGTGTTACACAAACTAATCCCAAACCAATAGATTGAAGTTGTGGTATTTTTGCATATTTTTTTCATCAAGTTGCTTATGTTTCTGATTCCGAAGCAGCCACGCCCTGCATCAAAGCCATCAGTCCGAGCGAGGGCTGGACGACAGGCGGCGCCACCGTCATCCTCATTGGGGACAACTTCTTTGATGGCCTGCAAGTCGTCTTTGGAACCATGCTAGTGTGGAGCGAGGTGAGAGGTCTTCCACATGTCACAGAACAACGTGTTTAAATGTTTGCAAATTGGGTCAAATTAAACTTTAGGAAAATGTAATAGAGCTGTATTACACACGAACAATTCACAACTGATTCATTTCCAGACAATCCATGAAAACCAATAAGTGATCAGAGCAGCTGTCTGTGTTCTGTTGATGTGAAGTCTGAGAGCAGCTGCACATATGAACACAGACACACACACACACACTTCTCCGTCTTCGTCACGCACACACAAATTTATCACAGACACAAACCACCTGCACGTCCCCCGTCACCTGCATGTGTGTGCCGTGTGTGGGGATGTGCACGTATGTGCAACATGAAATATTGAAGCAGGTCCAAAGCAGCAGAACACCTGGTGGGGAAGGAGGGAACATCACACCTGTACACGCTGTTGACTTTGATCAGCGGTGCCTGGCGCAGAACAGGCAGACTCCAAAGCCATGATCCTCTGAAGGCAGCAGGCATGGCCCTGGAAGCAGAGCGCACACATCTGTGAACGCAGCGCTTATGCTCCTGAACACAGCACAGATCATTTAAACTCACACACACACACTGAATGCATCATTCAAATTTATATGACCATATTGTCAGCGTAAGGAAGCATGCATTTTTTTCCCCTAAAAAAAAAAGTGCAGCAGGAAAATTCTAATCACAGTTATAGAAACAACATTGTCTAAAACTGCTACAACTTTCAGAAACAGCCATAATGTTAATATACATTTTTTCTATGTAGCTCATCACTCCCCACGCCATCCGGGTTCAGACACCACCTCGCCACATTCCCGGAGTTGTCGAGGTCACGCTGTCCTACAAATCCAAACAGTTCTGCAAAGGTGCTCCAGGACGCTTCGTCTACACGGGTGAGTTGGGAAAAATATTCTAATCACAGTGACATTTATCTGGATTCAGTTGGAATGGGTGTTTTTTTTTCTGCTGTGTTAAGGAGAGAATCTGAATCCTCTTGTCTCTTCATTGAGCTTTTTCTAAGTAGCAGATTTACATAAGAACAAAATAATATTGATCCACAAATACCTGCCACACACACAAATTCTTATCATCCTTTGATGGATGACCCTTTACTTACAAAATCTGTTACGTTAAACTGTTCATTGAGGAACATTCCAGAATATAACTTTTTCATTTCAATTTGAGACATTTACTAAATGATTTATATGCATTGTGGTTTCTAGACCAAATCTTTCAGCAGACTGTGTGACTGTCACCTTTTTCATGTCTGTGGAAAATGAAGAGTGAAGTCCACACATGCAGGTTTCTATCCTGTCCTTTTTTTGCTCATATCCATTGACTCATTGTCCACACCTCACGTTGAGACAGCGTCCTATCAGTCGTCAAATCAGAGCCTGGACAGACGGATTATTCTGTCAGAATATCCAGATGTCATTCAAAGTAGTAGAAAGGTCAGATCCAGGCTGTTTAGTCAGATAAGTAAATGTCAGGGCGTCATGAAAGAGCCAAGCGACTTCACGCCGTCTGTTAAACACCACTTCGTCAGCACCTCCTTCCTTCTCTTTTGTCCCATACATCTCCTCCTTCCCTTCTTCCTCGGGCAGAGAGACAGTGCAGAAGTGGGACGAGGCAGACAGTACAATGGACGGTCCAGCGTTGGTAGAGTTTTTTTGCAATTCTAATCTGAGATTCTATTTACAGATAGTACCCAAGGCTCAGGCTCTGCTTTCAGTAGTGCATTATGAATGGGACCTGTTGTTATCATGTTAAAGGTGAAGACCACCATGTTTTCAACCCTGCTCAAAAACCTCCAACCTTTAAAGTGAAACACTTACGCTTCTCTCTGGCATTTTTATTTATTTTTACAAAGACCTCTTTTTACTCGTCTTGGTAAATGTAGGGTTTACCATTGTAATTTAAGACTTACTGATTTAAGATAAACTTTAACATTGAGAAAAAAAAAACGTTTTGCTTTATAATAGGCATTGAGGGTGAGGGTAGTCACAGAGAGTGAGAGAGACCTGATCAATCAAGAAAGACACCAACACACACACCGACACTCTCACACTCTACTCTTAATCGATACTCATCGAAATGACATGAACCTTAAACTGTGATTGACAGGTTTCTGTGTGTGTGTGTTTTTATGTGTATGTGAAGATTTTAAGGAAACATAGAAATAATCATTTAAATTTGATACTATTATTGTTATTATTATTTTAGGGAATTTTAGTTTGTTTTGGTGAAATTTGTAATATTACTACTTTGTAATACCTTTCTTTTAAATTATTTTTTTACCATTCTGATTATTCTAATGAATAAATTATCAGCGCTCACATTGAGCTTGTTGAGCAACATTCTAAAAAACAGTGGCATTTCTCTGATGCACACATTTTTGACTTCAATATAGCAGAAGTGATCAGTGACAGGTTTTGGGCTGTGAAAAGCCATGTACAATGACAATGGAGCCCACAATTACCCCAACTCTAGGCCCTTTTTTGACCAGAAAGAGTCCCATATGCTAGCTGGGACCCTCATGGGTTCATGAAGCTGCATCCTTGCACCTCATCTTGCTGCAGGTAACAACTGATCTCAGATCAGAGGCTCTGTTGTCTGAGAGGGCGGGGCATCGGTGTACAGTCTCGGCAGGCTCATTACCTTGCTGATTCCAGCTTCTATAATCCACTGGGGCGCCATGCTTCAGGGAAGCGTGTATATACATTTACCCTGCCCTTGTTTACATTTCCACCTACAACTGTTTACATTTATTTATCTGCTACTCTTTCTCATTTGCTCACTGCCGGCCCCTCGCTCTCTGAGTGTGAATACATTTTCTCCACTGCTGCTTCGCTCATATTTACCATCCATACATAAAAAGTGCACATTGGGGATGTTCGCTCGCTCACTCACCTTCACCTCTGATGGCTCTAGCGGAGGCACTGTCATGTCCCTGATGATGCGTTGCCGTGCGGCTTTCTTCCGTTTCACACTTATCATTTCAAATAGACAATGTCTTCCATATAGAACACGCTGCCGCTGCCGAGCTCCAGGTCCCATGACACTTTTCAAGTTGCTTCTGCGGTGCACGCTCCAATCTCCCGTCAACCTCTGCTTGATGATTGATGCAGGTCATTGCCACCTATGGCCTGGCTGCCCGTGGATCAACCCTGTGATGATTCCTCATTTTCTACCGAGGGGAGAGGGTTCTTAAGTGGACGGAGTGATTTGTTTTGCTGCACGTCAAGTAGTCAGAAGCGTCATGGCTCTGGACAGGCAGACATGACACATTTTATTGATCTTTGTTTTATTCTCTGACCTCAGTCAAACCGCCTATTATAACTTAAGACATGAAAACAATACAAGGAAAGAAACAAGGAACAAAATACGCTGTAAATAAACAAAGATCAAAACAACAGGAGAAGTTTGTTCTTATCTTCAATTCATGCATCTGATAGGTTTGATACCAACAGTGGCTAAGGCTTTGAGAACTGGCCACCGAAATGGAGGCTAAGTGGACTTAATTTTGTGACTTATAGTAGATCTTTCCAAAGATTTTTAGTTTGCCCCATGGAAATTGTGCACATGTGGTTGGTGCAACAGGATTCTATAACAATCTGGCTGCAGATAAGCAGATCTTCATATTCTAAAAAAATATGTTTGGGATTTGAAAAAGCTCTTCCAGCTATAATAAAAGTAAAACACACCGACCACAGATATGACTTTGATCCATGACCTGAGCAATTTGTCAGTGGCTTTGTTTTTTAAACAAGGGCAGATGTTCCTTGTCTCCTGTCCCGGGGCAGCAGCGGCAGCAGCGGCAGCAGCGGCAGGCGCGGCAGGCGCAGCAGGGGGGGGGGATCCCCGTCCCCTCACCCTCCG